AGATGTTTAAAAGAGACAGCTATAAAGCTCTAACTTAGTGGTTAAGATGATTGCCTGCCAACTCATGGTCCTAGGTTCAAATCCTGGAAAGTGACAGGATATTTTCTCAGAACCAAAAAGCAGCTCCACTTTCAGAGCCTCATATGAGGATCGTTTATTGTACTGTATATCTTGTGATGAGGATTGCCACTTGCAGTGCGGTATACAACTAATCACATTCACTATTGACAATCCTTGTTTCTAAGTAATAATTTAAAATGCTTGACTTTTTACTCCAAATGGTAATTTTGATGTTTCACACCCTAATTATACTGTGCTACATGTCTCCCCGTCTAATTGAAGACCCCTCCAATTAGAGACCACTTCTCTGTGGTCCCAAGTTAACAAATGTTGTTCATCTTTATTACTCTAATTAAAGACCAAAGCTGCTAAATACCATGGAAACCGCAGTCTTAAGCCCCACCCCCCTCCCCCAGCTTTAATTGGAGGGAGACCTGTATTTATTACAATTGTGGGTTTTTGGCTAATCTCATTCTCTGTTTACTTTATCCATGTTTAGTTCTTCGTTATGGGGAATTTTAATCTTAATATTTGTATAAATCTGTAGAATATATTAGCTTTGTGAGAAGGACAACAACTTTCAAAACCATGTACTTCATGATTTTGATTAATAATTTTGATTTAATATGATTAAAGAAACTAAAAAAATTGATGTTTTATATTCTGTTGCAGGCCAATGACATCATCAGTCAGCTTCCAGACACTGAACTTTATCTATTGGAGCATAAACGATATGTACAGCTAAACAACAACAAATCCGTCGCACAAGTGTACATTTTCTTACGTGCTATTGAGAGTCTATTCTATGCTACATTAAACACAAGGTGCAGTAAAATACAAGCTGTATCGATGTCAGAGTCCATTACGTGTAGGCATTTTGATTTGACGATCGGTAATCGCCGAAAAAGCGGGCAAAAACTTGTGGAGGCATTTCTTAATGATGATTCGGACATTATAGGAAAGCAAGGCGATAGTATGTTGCAGATTTCACCGCTGTTGGCTGGCGTGTACCAAAGTGCAAATAAATACCAACGAGAGGTTTTGGCAAATGCACTTTTACAATGCCTTGCATTTTATGATAAAAAAGTTTCAGGAACTTGTACTTCAAATATGGAATCACAATGAAAAAAAAATTGTAGCAGTTAGATTGAAATGAAATAATAATAATAATAATAATGACTTTCCTTAAAAATATTTTGGAAATAAAATTTGTGGTCTTCCTGGACTCAATTTGAACTTCTTTTTTTTTAGTTGATTGATTTACCTATTGATGATTGGTCAATTTCTTAAATTAATCTAATTATTGATTGGTCAATTTACTGATTATGGTTTGGTTTGGACTCAATTTGAATTTTATTTTTTTTAAATGATTGATTTATCTATTGATTGGTCAATTTCTTAAATTAGTTAATTGATTTAATTATTGATTGGTCAATTAACTGATTAGTGGTTTGGTTTGGCTTAATGGTTCACTGACATAATGATATGTTGTTTGATTAATTAATGGTTTAATCAATGATTTCTTGATTGATTGATTGGTAGATGACTTATTGATATGTTGATCAATTACAGTAGATAATTTGGTTCAAGGAGAGCAGCACATTGGCTCCGAGCCGATTCTAAATCCTTGTTTTGGTAACACACGGACATGTTGCAAATTGGTGTGCAGGATATGAAATTGCATTATGCAACGAGGCAACATCTGTATGAGAAAATCATACATAAATTTACAAACTATTTTAGCAGTTAATATCAAAGTTCTCTGACCCCCTTGTTGTCAAATTAAGTGTAAATAATTACACGCTGAGGAGAAATTAGTCTTCTGAGCACCAAACAGTCGTCAGGTTGGAGATTTACCACGCACGTGGCTAAAACTCAAGGACAGACATTGCAGGCAAGACCTTCGCAAACTTGATATTTTGATCGCGAGTTATGTTCTGCTTTGCATTTTCGACCTACATGTTTGTAGCTATGCTGCAATCAATTTGATTCAATTTCCTCTTGATCTTCCTGTGTGTGCAAAATGAAAACAAACATTAGAATGTATTAAGTGTGGGTGTTTCAAGATCTGCCCACTAGATTTGTCTTTGAATTTGTTCCAACATTTAAATGGAATACGGTTTCCTTTTCCCAGCTAATTTTCTTTGGAGTTTCAGGGTTTACCAAGTTGGTGAGGGTTTCCTCTTTGGAAGGGCATGGGAGTGATTTGGAATTGCCAAGTGGCCATTAAAGATTCAAGAGGAAGTTTCTTTAAAAGAGACGGTGCTTTGCTTTAAGAGCACACTATTTGATTTTTAGCAAAGAGTGTATAGATATAAACAAATTTTATGACTGAAGAAAAATAAAAGCCACCAGATTTTCAAGTGGTATTTTGATAGAATCTCAATAGAATAAGTGATTTTTTTTTTCTGCTCAGCATAATTTCAGTGCCGGATGCCTTTTGGGTGTAAACCCTCACTGTGCCCGACAGCCATCGGCCGACGTGATTCTATGGAGGATGCAACGCCACGATGTGCACGCAATGGATCATTTTTAATGACGATCTGTTCAGACTAGAATCAAGTGGTGTTTTGATAGATAAATGTTAGAATTGCTTTGCTCAGCAAAATTTTCAGTGGGAGGTGCATGTGGTTGCAAAATATTTTTTAGGAAAGTATGCCACCAGTGGTGGCAAAAAAGGTTCTCGCCCTGCTAGTAGTCAAACATCTATCCAAGTGTGAGTGTACCTATGTAAGGGAACACCTCAACACTCCCCCCTTAAATAACAAGTCCCCAGTTGGGTCTTTGCACCCACACACCTCGATGTGTCCCTGACCCATCCTCATTTATAGTCCTAGCACAATGCTGGAAATGTCAACCAAGTCCTTAACTAATATAAACATGCATAGTATTAGGATAAAAAACATACTAACAGCTGATGAAATTGCTGTGGTTTGTTATGATGACTCAAAGTCATGATGCTATGAATACAACTCCCTCGTACATGACACATGTATTTATACTGATTCCTCATTCACAGTAGCATTGCATGTCTTATATTGCCCTACTTCTCCAACGTTTTTAGGTGGCGACCCACTTTCAGACTCCATATTCTTTGGTGACGCAAGACATTTACTTTCATGTCATCAGTGGCGGTGCCAGGAATTCCCCGACGAGGGGTCCAAGCTCCACAACAAGGGGGCCACACCTGAGCATTGGGAGCGATTCGCCGGGGAAGCCTATGTGTTGGGGAATTCTTATTAAACAATAATAAAATTATGTGTTAATTATGGGATTCTTTATTTAAAATGGATAATTTGATAGAAAGCCATGCAAGATAAAAGTCACGGTAATAGTCCCCCTGTCGGGAAAGAGCTGGTGCCACCCCTGCAACCCATACGATCGTAATGCTAGTATACAACACCTTGCACATGCCTTAGCACTGAAAAGATTTTAATCTCAAAAATTTGAGTAAGGCATGCTTGCCTTAGGCGGTGCTTGTGATTAGATTTTTCCCTGATGACCTTGCTGGAAATTCCCAGACAGGGGGATCCAGAGGTCCCCGATGGGGGTTCTTTGCCCTCCTGGACCCCAACTAGCGCTGCCCCTGCAGTCAACCTCGGCAAATACAAATTTGATGTGGTAAATCGTTTTTATTTTTATTCACTCAGCAAAGTACACGAGGCATGTAATCGTTGATTGGATATGGAATGTTCCATTTTATAATTAAAAAAATATTTAGTCCACTCGTAATTTTTAAATGTTATGTAAAACAATGAATTTTTTACTTATGCAGTCGGCTTTGGCAAAGTTGACTGGGAAAATATTTGGAAAATGAAGCTTATACGTCCCTACCTCAAAAAGGCTCGAAACAAACTCAAAATGAAAAGATGTAACCTTTATTTATTAACTGGTACATTGTGTTAATATGCGCTATGTTCCTGCATAATTTTTCAATGATCTTATCAATCCCTGGAGGGATTGGTGACTGAGCAACCATAAGAGTAGATTCTTGGTTTTAGGTTGAAAATGAATTCCTATAGCTTTTATCTTCGTAGCTACGTCTAAAGGTACAGTATCTCTTCAGCCCTTTGTAGGGTGGCTATGTAGATGTACTGTACTGTATTTTCCACTTTGTTTTGAAATGCGCATTGTCATAGTCTCTCTCTTTAAATCAGAAGCAGTCTCAGACCCTCAGTAATGTTTTGGCTACCAAAACTTGTAGACGCAGGGACCTCTTGCATCTATAGTAAAGATTCTAATATCATGTCAGACATCCTAATTTGCTCAGCTGGATTATTGGGTGCTCAATATCCAGGGATGCTGCAATATTTAATTATTATTAATAATGATGATACAGACATGGGAAAGTTATGTTTGAGCATGTACTACAGCAAAATTTAATATTAAATTAACAGACCGTATAATCACTAATGCAACATAAAAAAACAGGAGGAAGTTTTTGGTACAAAACTAAAATATTTCTGACATTTAAAATTAAAGAGTCTAGTAAAGATTACACCTACATAATTGACCCAATAATCGTTGCATCTTTTATAAAGAGGTTTCATTGTGGTGTTTAATCGAGAGTGGCGTTTATTTGAGAAAGTCACTTATTAGATTTTTTACGGTATGTTAGGTAGAGGAAAGGCAAAATGTAGAAAAATCACACATCAATAATGGGTCATTATGCATTCAAAACACATCACATCTAATAAACAAAAAAAAAAAGGCTGCGTAAGAAAGAACATATAACTGTGTGAAAATGCAAGATTTATATTAATTTCAGAGTTTCTAGTTTCAATGTATGTTTGCGTCAGGAATTCCCCTACCCGACGATCGTACTGTATACATTCCCAAATACTTGCAAAAAAAATTCATGATTCGGATGGGAATTGAACCCACTACCTTCGGATAAATAGCCTGGTGTCATAATCACTAGACCACCAACTAGTGTCAGTGTCTGCTGCTACTTGGGGATTGGATTCAACACTAGTCAGTAAGCGCAAGCTCAATGTTCTAGTGGTTATTTACACCTGATTATTCAGAATGATAACACATCAGGTAGGGAAATACATCACTCCTCGAATTTGTAGCCTACAAAAAAGGGAGAACTTTTTAATAACTAAATGTTAAAAATCCTTGAAAGAACCATAATTTTCTTAAAACTTTCAGAATCCATATAGGCTGACTGGGTGTCCTGGTATATGAATTTTCAAAACCTCAGTGATACTTATAAACAATTGTACAGTAATCAACATGTTTCCTCATGATCAAGTCAAACCGCCGCTTATGAAAGTCACTGCCTATGCCTATGAAGTCTACTGTTTTAGCATGTGTGAAAAAAAAAGTTGGCAGACATGTTATCAGTGTACACTTCACAGTTTGAGGTGCGTGGCGTGTCTGAGGCAGATAATGCGTTGCATTTCCAAAATCTCGCCTTCACATGAATAATATTAAGGTCAATGTAAGAATTGAGTTAAGATTCCATATGAATCACATACTACCAATAAAATTGGAAGAATGCCAAACTATTTAACTAAACATGTTTTTATTTTCTTTTGAAATGCAAGTTTCGTAAGGCGCTATGTTCCTCATAGAGCGACATATAGTGTCATAATAATAATAAGGAATGATAAAATCTACTGAAGTACAAAAATAATACTACTATATTATACAAACTCAAAAAAGCTATATTTGATTAACTATTTATTTTCTTTATTGAAAACGTTAATATAAGTGACATTATTTTGTTAATGCTTGTGCAGCGTGACATCAGCATGTTTGCCTATACGTGGTCCATCATTCCCATCCACATGCACTATAGCCCCACCATGATCAGGTCTGAGGTGAATTTCACTTCTAAATTTCCACACCTTTTGCTTCTAAGTCGAGATTTTTTTAATACCTTGTTTAGTAAACTTATATTTGTTAACATGGTCGGAGAAGTGTGGAAAAAGAAAATTTGCCAAAGAATATAGGCGGATGAGAAAACAAAAATATAACTTTAATGATGAATGTAAACAATGTATTAATGAGAATGATAAATGTTAAATTTATATAATTAAGGAAAAAATATACATACATTATCTTATTTTTGGAGATTTCAGAGGAGCAGAGGGCGTAACTGCCAAAAAATAAAATTTGATTTTTATTTGAAAACACCATTATTGTGGTCAGATGGTTCACTGAACAAGGTATAAAAAAAAACCTCTTGCCTAAGCCTCATTATCAAACTTTACAAAATTCACTGATTAAACGTAAATAAAATACGACAATGATGCGGTGAAAAGTAATCAAACAAAAAGAATACCTTTACAATTGTGGCACCTGTTTGAAAAAAAATATGATAAATAAAACAGATTAATGAATATATAAATAAAATAAATAATAATAATAGTACTACAAGATCAATGTAATATGATAATATATATAACAATATATAATATGGTAATAAAGGATCAATCTATATAAAACTAAGACAGAAAGACGATAATAAATTAGAGAAAAGATGATTTATAAAATAGTTTAATCAATTATAATGAATACTTAAATTGATATACACCTATATAATTTTAATATTGATTATTATTTTTGATTTATTAAAGTCAGGCTCCGGAGGAAAAAATGTTTTGATATGTTGTAGAACTGATTTTTCTAAGACAGAAAAAAGTTGTTTGACGAAAAACTGGGGAACGGTGAATGACATACAGATTTTTTAACATTTAAAAACTGGGGGAATAAGGTGTAAAAATGGTCAGTTACGCCCCTTTTCCCCCAGTTTTTAAATATTAAAAAATCTGTATCTCATTCACCGTTCCCCAGTTTTTCGTCAAAAATTTTTTTTCTGTCTTAGAAAAATCAGTTCTACAACATATCAAAAAATGTTTTTCCTCCGGAGCCTGACTTTAATAACTGATTCATTTAATCAATTATGGCCGCACAGTTGTCACTGTTCAGAGTTAATACAATACTCATATATTCTGTTAATGAGACACTTAGTTTATAAAGCATAACTGAGCCCTCTGTGCTAACAGTATGTTATGTATGTTATCCAGTATAAATATAGATTTAAAAAAAAAAATTGTATTTGTAAACTGTAGCTGTAGTTATTGCCATCCAATTGCATCCAGGGGTTGAAATACACTCAGACGCCAGGATTTAGTCTCAACCATAGTTTATCAACCATTACATTCTCCTGTAATTGGCAAGTGTACATGTTGTAGGAAGTGCAACAATTATCTTTAATTGGAAACCAAATGTTTTCATAGAACAGAAAAGCATACAGATCCGAGACTTGCTGATATGATAGAATTCTATTTATATACAAACTCAAGGATTGTATAAGTCATTAGCAATCTATTTCTGGACACTCAGTCACTGTTCCTGCTTGTACGTATGCAATGCTTTTTCTTATATGTCACGAGGCTTTGCCGGATTCTGTAGTTTTTGAAGCACTTGCGTTCTTGTCAACTAAGTCAGCAAATCCTAGTTTACTCAAAGGTTCTCTTGTCATAAGATCCCTGGGAACATGAAAGGAATAAAAGAATTGTAAACAGGTGAACGAAATAACATGCTTACCACTGAAAATTGGTATAGATTCAAAATTAAATTATTTAATATGACAAAGAATCATTGAAGGCAATTATCCAGAATCACAAAATTGCAATCACATACAAAAACAAAACAACTGGTTTTACTCAGATGTATATAAGGTGATTGTGTCCTAAAGACTTACAATGAATGAAATAAAAAATTAAATGCATCCAATAGTAGACGTGTACTTTCAAAAATGACAAATGGTTGAGATATTTCAGTGCATGATTTCATTGCATATACGAATATAAAAGTGATTGTATTTTTTAGAATATACTTTAATGCATGGGAAGGTTCATGAAAAGCAATGAAATCAGAAATGCATTGCAAACCTATAGCCTCTGAAGACTTCAAGCAAAGGAAAAATTAAAGGGTGGAGAGGTTAAGTTTGTTATGGCATGACTAAGTGCCTTAGGAGAAGGGGAAACCAGAACTTTGAATTTTAAAAGAACTAGTGTCAATCTATCAATGTTAATCAATCAATTAATCAATCAAAGTAACATTTTTCTTCAAGTTGGAAAAAAAAGTACAATGTAAGGCAAGCTAAATGATTTGAAGAAGGCATAGCCAAAAAAGCAAAAGCTTGTGGCAGGGATGCCTAGACAATATGACAAAAAATAAATAAATAAATAAATAAACAAATAAATGAGCAAATAAAAAGCACTTTAAAAGAAATAAAAAGTAAAAAGTTAATTGCAAGAAATGTCGTCTGACATGGGTACAAGTTAAATATCTTAAAATAAAAATTAAATTCAGTAAGTAGATATAAAATATTTTTAAAGTTTAACTGAGAAGCTTTTCTTGGATACAGATTCTTTTACATATAATGTTAAGCTATTCCAAAGTTCAGGTCCACTAAATCTTATACAATATTGAAAAGATGTTTTTTTACGGAGAAGAATATACATATCATTTAGAGTACGAGTACAATAACTGATAAATAATATAAAATAATAATTATTATAATAATAAATAATAATAATAAATAATAATCAATCAAGTTTTCTTAGAGGTGCATTTAACACACATTAGGAAAGACTTACTAGTGCATAAGATTTAACATCATATATGAAAAAATGTTTTAAAAATAAAAGTACCTTGTAATATTTATATAATAAAAACAGAAATACTAAGTGACCAAAAGAGATGAGATTTTTCATTGATTTGATTTATTTCCATGTGCATAAAATGAGATACAAAATTTAAGTTTTGGCAGAGTAAATGTTGAATCTGAAGTGCTATATTATTAAGCAATATCTTGTGAAATACAGTAGAACCACTTCCTTTGGGACACCCCTAATAAGTAGACACTTTTATGGCCATTAAACAAGGAAAAGTATATCTGACTTTTAAGTCAGCGCCTATTAAGGTGACATCCTATTATTAAGGTAACACATTTTTGGTCCCGAATGTTCTACTTTGATATGTACCATGATCGTTATTCATACCTTTCCATACGACATTCCAGATATGCCTTAGATTCCAGCCTACATTCACTTGACTGTTGGCCACTTCTTTGCATGCAGTCCATAAACCGGATCTTAAAATCCTTACATTCGCCTATGCAAAATATAGGGGGAAAAGCCAGTTGAAAATCTTATATACAGTATTACAGTTATAAGGTGTAGAACCGTTTCACTGCAAACAAGTTTGGCTGCGATTTATGCAACACATTCTGTATTGTATGTTTTCAGTCAATTCAAGTAATTGAATAACTAATAAATATTGTATTTTAAATTGATAATTATAATATTAATAAATATGCGTATTGAAATAAAAAGACTGGGAAAATGCAAAAAAAAACATGTTATATTTATATCAATTCACCAAGGGAAGCCTAGTCCAGACATACAGTAACACTCAAGAAACAAGCATAATTCCTAGTGCATATTTTTAAAATAAGACAAAGAGAGCAGCTTAGCTCAGTCGGCTAAACTGGTGGTAGCTACTGTGTGTGTGCTGAACCGTGGACATCTCTAGGTCCTCGTTCAATTCCCAATGCTGTTCTCCTAGTATTTTAGCTAGAGGGCTCAAATGCAAGTTTACAATAGTGCACCGTCTTTAAGATGAGAGGTTTAAGGCGTTGGTACCGTGTGCTTTATGGCCCGTGTGCACTTTAGAGAACGCTACACTATTCGTAAAAGAGTAGGGGATTGTCTCAATCACCACCAGAAGGACCCCATTGGAAATAAGTCTTCTTCAGACTTTCGTGGGTTATCCTTGGTGTTTACACCAAATAAATCTAATCCAATCCAAAATACACTGAATTTCCTGATTTTCTGGATGTTAAAACTAGTTTGCGGCCAAAACAGATGGCATTCCTATAAAACAAATCAAAATAATTTACTGAAAAAAGTGAAAAGCACATTAAAGAAAAAAAATAAATGGCAAACATTCCTTTTCAGTTCCTATGCTTGCAAGCAGAGGAACCTTTCTAATCGACTCTTGAACGAATGCGTGTAGCTGACCTTTGTAAAGAGGCAAAAATCACTTTCCAGACATCTGTTTGTTATGAATTTTCATACCCAAGCGAAAGCGGATGACAATGTGCCCTATTTATTTAGTTTCCATTTTGATAAATATTAAAGCTATAACTAATGACATAAATACCCCCCCCCCAACTCTTGAAAAGACTACTAAACCATATGGTAAAATACAAAACCATTTATGGAATGCGGTACAGTATCTGTCATCGAAACCTGTATATTGACTCTAGGGAACGTCCTATACAAAACATCACACTTTACCTACATTGCAAAACCTCAATTTGATAATCACCATAAGACTATCGTTTATGGCCCCGAAGATAATCAGAGAAAGAAAACATTCCACTGCCTGTTTATCGGATATGGTTGTTTAACTTGTGTTTAAATATTATGTACACAGTTGAAATCGTATCGAGGTTGTATGATACACTCCAAAAACTTTAATTATAGATACTGTATTCGTCATAAAAACAATAGAAATTTGTTATTCGAAGTCTCATTTTATTGTTCAATGTGTTTTTTTTGTTTTTTTGGTTTTTTTTTGAGAATTATATACAAAACAAACTGGGTTCTATTGATACGTAATTTGTTGTTTACAAGCAAATTTTTGGGGAGTAATATAAATCCTATCATTTTTGTTTTTTAGGTCTAAAACACACAAACCAAGAACACGAACATATTCGTACAATTTAACAATTTAAAATATTGCACTTTCACTATTTAAAAAAAAAAAATTTTTTTAAATTAAAAATGGTGTTATTTTACCAGTGGTTGCATAGGAACTTCGACACTCGCATCTAGCAGAGGTCTGGTTAAATTAGAAATGTGGGACCTAAGCTACTACTGTACATGGAACATATGGCATAACACCTGAACTGACTACGACCAGGCCTCTAGTAGAGACTAGACTAGCCAGGCTCTGTTGGAGTTTAGAATCTAGTAGTGCCCTTCCTTCCCCCCCCCCCCCACTAAAAGGCTAGCTAGACACCGCTTACTTACAGCCGGCTCTAGCCCTCTACTACAGTACTACTATTACACTAGTCCTACTACTATTAGCCTATACTAGACTCCCTAGGCCGTAGCCTAGGCTAGACTAGGCCTAGCAGGCTAGGCCTAGGCCTAGGCCTAACTAGGGGCCTACCTAGGCCTAGTTGGTCAAAAAATACCTTCGTGATCAAGAGGAAAGCTTCCTTTATCAGGTGGTCTTGACTTGAAACTCTTTTGAAAATTCATTGTTGACATTTTGATCAAATTTATGTTAATACAATTCAATTAAAATTACAAGACTTCAGACTATTCGTCCACGTGGTGGCAACAGAGATGAACTTTGACCTCAGTCGTCCTTTAAATATTTCGCGCTGATTTAATGGCAGGGGGCAGCCATGGGCTGCTTGGGCTAGGTTGTGCTGCTTCTTTTCCTCATGAATGCTGTCCGTGCATGTGTAAATATTACCAATATCTGTCAGGTGGTTTCCTAGTGATTATAAATAAGAATTAGTTGAAATTTAGTTGCTGTAGTATGCCTAGGGCCTACATTAATTTTAGAACTGGGTTTTTAGAATGAGATAAAAATGTAGAGAAAGGCGCTAGGCCACTACTAATAGGGAGTGGGGGGGGGGGCTAACTACTACCGTACCTACTAGAGAGTAGGCTCCTTGGCAAGGCTGCCTACAATACAGTACAGGGCTCAGCCCCTACTACTAAGCTAGGCCTATGCTAGACAGAGACAGTTGAAAGCCAAGTCGAAGATGTCTGTTACTGTTTATTTATGGTATTGTTGTTCTGCTGGAGTGCCACCATATATATTTGTCTTTTTTTTGTCAAAGTGTTTTTGTGTTTAGTAGTATTTTATGTTTGGATGGATGAAAAAAGGATCCCCCTAGTCCTAAGTACCACCTAGCTAGTATTAAAGATTGCCTGGTAGTGCAATATGGAAAATAGTTTTTAAGGGCGACCTGGTACAATTTACACTACTATTGTGATTCCTGATGATGAAATCAAATAATTGATATCGAAATATTGAATCCCGACACAATGGCGTGCATTTCAATACTTGGAGTATGTATTATATTATTTTATCTGAGATTAATCAGTGGACCTTTAGGATTGTGGGTAAAGTATTTGTTTTATACAAGAAAATGCACCAACTGGCAACACGGATAATTTTTCCTATTGTGTGTGGGAATTTCCCACCGGTCATGGGGATTCCCCAGTTTAGACTAGGCCTTATAAATACTGTACAGTATTCTGTCCCTTACTTGTCTATCCTCCACTACTTGTGATTTGAAAACACCAGTTTAAAACGTCTTGTGAGTATTTATTCATCAAAATAATGAAATTAGAACTAATCAGAAGTTTCCTAGAAATGAGTTCATACTTATTTTAAGGGATTAGAACTATAATTTCGATCTTAAGCTACAAAAGGAAATAGCAGCTCACAGATGCAATATCATGCATTATGAAGATAGATCATTAGGAATTAAAAGACATGGAAATAGAAATTCACCGTTAATTAAGAACGGAATAAGGTTTACTTTTTTGACCATTTTGGATCATCCTTGTTATCTCGATTTCTTCTGTTTGTTCTTTGTATTTAAATGTATTTTGATCAACCATATTACCTAAGTTTTAATTAACTCTTTTTCTAGATTTTTAGTTTACGTGAGGCAGTGGCGGATTCAAGTTGGGCCCAGTCAGCCTGGGCCCCCCCCCCTAAATTTATCAAAATAAAAAGATAAAGAAAGAAAGAAAGACAGAAAAATTATATTCAAATTTAAGTTTGAGAGTAGCATTTCCGGCCATCTGGAGGTGGCATAATCAGAATGGGGCTGTGGTAGCATAGACCCAGCATCTGTGAGAACTATGGCCTATAATCCCTGGATCCGGCACTGTAAGGTGTACTGTGCTACCAAATACGAAATGAACTATAAGGTAAAAAACTGTATTTTATAATTGCATTTCCTCAATGAACCATGAAATGTAACATTTGCGTTTTGTTCATTTCAGATTGAAAATATATTCCATCAAAATCATTTTCTGCATTATTAGAAAATGGATGCAGAAGTAGATTGCTATGACAACCAGAGGAGTGGTGAAAGTAATGTGGCGACTCCTGCGAAGTATGTGAAAGGGCTTGGAAGAGGTCAAATGAAACCAATCGACCCCATGACTATACGTTTACCAAAATTCCTGATGGAAAATATAGAGAATGGAAAGGTACAGTACCACATGTTAAGTGCTATTTGCTGTAAATTTGAAAGTTGTGGGTTCAAATCTGAGAATAGTACATTGATTGTGGCTGTGCAAGGTATTTTATACAGTTTGCCCTCCCATTTAAGACCACATTTAGGACCTGAAAATTTTGGCCGGTCATGGGATTCGGTCTTAACAGAGCTGGTTTATAAGAATTGATATTTTGTTTTTTGAAAAAGTAGCCTCAAATTGGAAAGGTCTCGAAATTAGCAGGGTCTTAAATTAGAGGGTGCACTGTATATTATAATGCACATATAGAATACATTCTCAGTTCTGTGCCGAGGAACACTCTCTGAGGCAATGTTTATAAAATGTCTCCCAAGCAGACAAGCAAAATGCCTCCAAAGAAAAAGACTCAAAACCCGACCCTGAACAACAACTGCTACGCCAACCATTTTCCGTATCCATTGGCAAATTATTATTTTAATATTTTATATTTTTTGGATTAAATATAATTGAATTCTTCATACAAGTTAATTTATTTATTATATGCAGTCAATGGGAAACTAATTTGACATACTATTTTGTGCTGTATTTAAGTTGTTATTCAATAAATATTGATTACAGTGTATGTAATTGCTGCGAAGCAGCCAATTCATATCCTCGACAGCAATTTGACCTCTGAAAGGTCATTGTTTGTCAAAAAACGAGCACCTAAGACGACTGAAAAGCGGAGTTTCCTTCTTTCGTTCTGCCGGGTACTTTAGGCGATGTTTGTAGACTAACCTACTCGTACCAACGTCCGCATGTTGCGCTAGCCTTATCCTACTCTAGACCTAGACTAACTAGGATGGTAACAAAAATGAAAAATTACGACTTTGTTACCCAATGAGAAGTGTTCTAATATAGACAATGGGTCGTGTCTCATATTATTTGTTTTATAGTTTTCATTATTTTCACTTGACTCGCATAAATCATTTTGTTCGAAGAACATTTATATGCAGTTGTACTTCGCAGCACTTCACTTGCAATTTGCAATTTCTAGTATATAATGTAATATACTGTAAGTCTTTGGGCTTAGAAAGTGGAGATGTTTTTCAGTTGTGAAACAAAGCATAATAAGTATTGTGGATGTATAAGACACTTTGTAATGTAAAATAGGTTTAAAAAAATAATTTAGATATATGACTATATAATAAACTCCCAAAATTCCTGTGTTCCAACAGGGTTTGAACCCAGAACCCTGGGTTTGAAGTGCGACATCTTAACCACCAAGCTACCAAGTAAGACTAAAGAAATAATTCACTATTTTAGAATTTTAAGCATAATCCTTTAAAGTTGATTATTATAAATGATACCGACATCGAACATTTAAATGAGTACAAATACTTTAAGGTTGCAATATTGATAGCAAGTTAACATGGGACCCCACATGTAGACAAAGCATATTTTTAGCCAGCCAAAGGCTTTACTTTGTACGTCAAATGAAGATTTTAGGTGTTGATACCGAACTTATTCGTCTCTCCTTTTTCGAATCAGTTGTTCGTAGCATCATTTGTTTTTATCAAAACATGTTAAATAAAGACAAAGCTAAATATGATAAAATCTGTAAAAAAGCAAGTAAGATAATTGGAGTCAAACTTGTTGATTTTAAGTCATTGTATCATAATCGAGTACTAAATAAGGTTAGGCTTATAAAGGAAGACGAAACTCAAATATTGTCCCGGCTGTACTCATTAAACAGATCTGGTCTTAGGCTCAACATTCACCGTAACAACACAAACCATCTGCGTAATTCTTTTTTCCATGACAGTATTCATATTTTTAATTCTTACGTTCATATAAAATAACGATATAGTATTTTCGAATATGATGTTTTAAAATGATAATCATAATAATGATATGAAATTTTTAGATTTTCTTCTGGATTTTAACGTTTTTTTGTTTGCGTTTGCCAACTGAAGATGCTTTTTTTTTGGCATTGATAATGAAAGATAATAAAGTTCATTCGTATTTCGTATTTCCACTCCAAGAATGCTCAGAGTGCTCAGAATGATGTTTTTGAACTTGCATAGGACCATGAATTGGGCCTTGCCAATATATTAATATATCAAACTGTGCTACTTTTGTTTAAAATGTACTCAAATATTAATTTTTGTTTTCAGACCCGAAAACCAAAGGCTGAAAGTAGTGGATCATCATATTTGTCTTCGAAAATCAAAAATGAAATCAGTATACTCAACAGTTATATCCAAAGTCATCAAAATTCTAAACAACTTTCTAATGCCAGGTCTGTACAAACTTTTGACTCTGACCCTCATATCTTTGATTGGCCTGAAGCCAAAAAACGCAGTTCCCAAGGAAGTCGTTCCTCGTCTTTTTCTGCGCTTAGCTCAACAGCCGATGATGTTAAAAGTCTTTCAGTGAATGATAAGAACGAGTGGCCAACGATTAATAATTCCACAGATGCAAGTGTTTTTGTGAGTGATAAGGTTGAATGGCCAGCGATTACTTCCAAAAAGACGAGTCCTGACAGCTCAAAAGAATCGGAATCAGAACCTGAAAGTAAAGAAATTCTTCTTGATTTTAAGTCGGTTGGTAGAAAGTTGCTAAGCACAAATGGTGATCATGCAGGAGCCTTGGATGTTGACAAAGATGACAAAAAAACTGACGAACAGCAAAAACAAAAGGTGAAAATCATATCTATTCTTGGTTTCATGGAATTTACAAATTTGTAATTCAACAATCAAACTATAAATATATTAACAAGCAATTAGTAGAGCTGCACATAGTACACTAACGGAAAATTATTATACAAAGGTTAGATTTAATGTTTGAAACAATTTTTGAATGCATTAAATCTAACCTATGTGCAATGTATACAGCTATACTAATTGTTTTATAAGTCAATCACCGTTTTTAATGTTAGTTATTAATCCTACATCTAATTTCTTTCCTTGAATCTTTAAATAGGTCTAGAATATTCCTATTCAATATTCATTCTTTAATTGATTAGAGTCCATTGATTCAATGAATTCCTTAATTTTTTGTATGCTAATCAACATTGTTTTATAAAAGTAATTTTTCAATTACCACATGTCAACAAACGACGATTGGGCGAGTGTCTGCCCTCTCTTTCCGCAGGCACGCATCGTAGTCCTGGCGTAGAAACGCTAACCTTGAAATCGTCACCGTTGTATTGGTCTTTTACACACGAACCTAAAAAAGATCAAGCCAAGTGTGCACTATATGAAGAAATATTTCACTGTTGGGGATAGGCAAATAACACTGGGAGTTGCAGTGATGACTTCATGATTGATCTATAATAAGTAATATCAAGAATACATTGTATTACCTGTATATTGACTCCAGAATCTTTTCTTGCTCTATATAAACCTTCAAGGATTATTGTTTGATATTGTAGCTTTATGTTTTACCTTCCACCATTACCTTACATACTTTTTAACATTCATCTTTTTCATCAGTTCTATGTATACTTATTTTTCTTTAAAACTAGGACAATTATAAACTGTGTGTTCAAAATATTCCTTACACTATAACTGAAACTGATCTGATGGGGGCGCTTTCTACCTACGGCACTGTCAACAGCTGTCAAATATTTCAAGGGACGGACAATCATGCAATGGCAATAGTTGTGTAAGTGTTTATTTTTGAGTAGGAGAATTGGTGGGAGGGGGGGCAGGAGTGGAGTATTACAGAGGGTTAGGGTAGTGTGGAAATGATGGTATAGTGTGGAGGTAGAGGAATGATGAAATGGGGTGGTGTAGAGGTGCATAAGAGAAAAGTTTGGTCCCAAATGTTTTTAGGTAAGGCAAATTAAAGTGTTGAGAAAAAAACCAATACAAAGTTTAGCCTATGGGTAGATTTACATGCCCAAAATGTGCATGCCAAAATTATTAAGTGAGCTAAAGTGAATATCCAAATATACTATTAATAACAAAATTACACAACTTTGTATGATACAATAGAACACCTTTGGGACTAAAAACATTGTCCCATATACAGTGTATTTAAGCATACATACTGTACATTCTTTCTTAGTCTATATGAATTAAGCAATGATACAAATAGTAACTACTGTAAATAACATGCATATGTGTACGTCAAACAACACAGTAAAAGATATTAGGCCCAATAAAAAAAATTATTAGTTTATCACCCTCGCACGCATGCCTTCTATGGTACTGGAAAAAAAAAATTTTGAAAAAAAAAATTTTTGTAAAACAAAAGTTTTTTTGAAATTTTTTTATTTTTATTTTATTTATTTTTTTTTAATTTTATTTTATTAAATAGTTAGTAGATATTGTTTGCATTATCTAAATCATGTTTTACAAAAAAAAAAATTAAAAAAAAAAGCCTCCCTCCCTCATCACTTTTCCTGCCCAGATAGGGTGATAAACTAATAATAGTTTTTATAGGGCCCTAATTAAAGGTCTAGAACAGTAGTAGTCAAGGCCACATTTAATATTGTTAACTATTATTATTTTCATAGTAAACATGCTAAATGATATAATGTGATTCATCATCATTTGTAATCCTTAAAGATAACATTAAAGTAACGTAATACTACAGTTATAACATAGGCTTAATAGGCCTACAGTAAATAGACCATTCTATTGTAATAGACTATAGACAAATGTCCCATGTCACTAAGGTGTCGGATCCTCTCAACAACCCTCTGCTAAGAATAAATGTCCAGTGTGGTCAGCTTACAAGCAACAAGTAATAATTCTCTAATTTAATTCTTTAGAAGAATATATATTAACAGTAGAAGAAATAAGCAGTTACGTCACACATCATTGCCAAGTTTTGGATACCTAAGTTAGGATTAAATCTTCTCTTCAAATTTCTATGTTCCCTAACAAATACTGTGTCATTTATTCGATAACGCTTTAGGTTTTGTTATTAATACGATACAAATGATGTTATATTTGGTATGAATTTGGTGGAGATGTAGAAATATTATATTAATAATTTTTTTTTTTAGCATGGATAGTCAGAAAGCATGTGATTGGGCAGTATCCTGTCTCCATGGCGAGGAATCACCATTTTCAGGTATGAAGATGATTATCCTAACAAATTGCGGGAAGTGGGGGTTGTTGTGTTTGCAACCCCATCAGATTGACGCGGACGAAACCAAAGTAGCACAATCAAAATTGTCTGTATCTGTTTATTAGTCCTGTTCACCCGGTAAACTACAATCAAAGCAAAATAAATAGTTTCTATAAATAATAACAATGATTCTGTATAATAGCCACTTTAAACACTGCCTTACATAGTACAAATAACCTGTTGAAGCCTAGCTTAATTCCAGTATTAAACTATTATTATTGACCACACAGCAACAGCCTAAACAGCCCTAAATACATGCTAACTGCTAACATAAATAATTACTGTAAATACAAAACCCTACATGGATTGGGGGAACAATACAGCCACAAGAAAAGCTAAAAGTTCTCTGCATAGCACAGCCCCTGCTCTACACTACACACTACTTAACTAGTGGCACAGAAAATAGTCAAAACAAAAGCTCAACTAATTTGCATATGGCAGTGAGCACTGCCTTTTCCACAAAGTTTGTCAACTTAGATCAGGTTCTATTTTCTCTATGGTTAGCTACAGATCTTGCTATCAAGGTATAACAGAATTTAAATGCCAATATCATGTACACAACAGGGGTGTTATGAATACCCTCAACTGTTAAAAAAAAAAAAAAAATAATGTTTATAGTTGTTAAAAATAAGCAGAGAAAATTGTATGTATTTATATGTATTTTTTTACTGTATTATTGCTATTGAATTTTTTAAAATTACTGATATTGTTTGTATGAAATATTTTGCTATTATTTATTCTATGCATATTTTGATATCTATTATTTTATTGAATTTTTTGCTGTTTGTTACTGATATTGTTAGTATTAACTATTTTTGCTGTTTTTATTCTGTCCATATTGAATTTTTTTGCTGTTTGTTACTGATATTGTTAGTGAGAAATATGTTTATGCTTTTTGTCTGGAGTTATTGATTTTTTGACAGTTTAAGTGTTCATTATTTTAATGAAATGTACTGTAATTCCATAGTAATTAATTATAATAATGTGTCTTATTGATTGAATCCATATTTTTATTGTAATTGCCAAAATTTGTTCTTAATTATCGATTTAGAATGAATTGCTATCTTTATTTGTAACTTCTTTGTATTGTTTATTCAATAATTATGCGTGTTTCATATAAAATGCAAGTGCAATATTTATCATTGGTAGAGTTTCTGTTTTGTGTCTAAATTTTGTATTGTAAGCATAGTTCATTGTAATTACAAAACATTTAACGTTAAAAAATACATTAATTAATGAATGTTCTTTTTACTTTCAAAGGATATGAAGATGGAGATGTACCAAAATTAAGTGTCATTCAAATTAAGGAGTGTGAAAGAAGATGATTTAGGAGAGAAAATGTGATCTTATACTGATTATTGAAGGTAGTTAGCCGAAGCCCCTTTTTGTAGTAGTACTTTTTTATAACTTGGTTTTTGTTAAAGAAACAATTCTGAGTTAACCTTTGCATATAGGAAACCACCCTTACCATGAACCTGGTTACTGGCCTGAATTTCTACAAAAATTTAGGCCTATAATTATATTATTAGATTTATTTTTGTATAGCGCATAATGCATACAGCCTCTGCATTTCACAGCCTCTATGCATTTCACATTTAAAGAAATAAGCCAGAGTAAAAAAAAAAACAAGATTAAATATAATGAAGATTTGTAACTAGTGGAAGTTTCATGCATCAAATCTACAATAAATTATTAATTTTACAAATTTTACAAATTATTTTGTAATTATTAACTATTTAGTTACTATACAGTATGACAAAATGAATAATTATTTTAACCATGATATGCCTATATATGGTCATGATGTGAGGTCATTGTGACCACTTAGGCATACCATATGTTTTGTCATGGTCTGGATGGGACTTTTTCCAATCTGTGCAATCAAAATTACCTTGAAGAAGCCTCATTTTTTGCCATGTTTTACCACATTCCAATTATCTCATCACACTTGAATATGGTAAAGTTGTGGTCACCATAGTAAGTGGTATATATATATATATTCAATATATACCTCAGTAAGTGGTATATATTGAATAGTAATGGGTGGTCAAGATATTAGGTTTCCTGGAAAGTTTCACCTTAACATAAGGAGAAATGATGATGCGAATTACGCCATGAAATAGTGTAGGATTTGCAGGGTATTGACAGTCTAATGTGTGCTTATGTATGACTTTTTGAAAATTAGTTTTTTATACCAATTCCAAGAAAGTGAATGTAGAGCTCTACATCATCTAGCGCCCTCTATAATGTGGTCTAGTTATTGATTAAATTTGTTTAATTTTTACTCTAGATGCCAACAAAAAAAATAATTAAATATACAGTAAAATTACTGTTTTAATTTTCCACTATTTTTAAAGTTAATTAAGAATTTATCTCTCTTGACAGAATGCATGTTTATAATATTTTTTTCAAGAAAATTGACTTGTAATTGTCGTGTAAGCTACAAGTAATTATGGCTTACAAATCTGGTATAAGCTTCGGATTTGCATTAATGCTCAACACCTTTCAATGAAAGAGGAGGTTTGTGTTCAGGGGATGTAATCGAATGATGTAAACAGACTATTGAAAGAATTTGTCATGTTTTCATGAAGTTATGAGGGGATGATAAACTCATCTCATAGTTGTAACGCAATCTATTCACAGGTGTTAAGATGGAGCATAGAGGTTATTAGCCTCTCAAACTTTTATAGATATGCTTTTTGTACTTGTTGCTTCATGGTATTTTTGTATCTCGACATTTTTGTATTATACAAATAATATTCTGTATTGGATTGGATTGAATAATGGGTAAATTGAATTTATCATCATTATTATTAGTATCACTGGTGATACTTTATTTTCACATATTGTTAGCATCGTTTTTCACAATTAGCATGAATTTTTACAAGATTGCAATTTATATCCTATCACATTTCCAGTGTGTAGAATCACAAATTAATGAGTGAAATAAAGTTGCATGATCTGAAGCCCTTCAGAACATTTTTCTTATTGTTGTATATTCAGGGGAAGATTTGGGGAATGACTTTCTTTTGAAAAAATGGAAATTACATTCCAATTTAAGTCTGAGAGCCCGAAAATAGCGCTCAAATTTAAATTTGCAATATGCGGTTCTTTTTCCCATTTTTTCCTCAAACCTCAAACATTTAGGGAGGTGGGGAACTTCCTTATAAAATAGTACATGTTTATCAAAACTTTAACCACAATATCAATACATACTGTCGAAATTTTCAAATTTCTCGTTTATAAGGACAAATGACACAGTTGCAACAGTTCAGACTTACAGATTATTTTGTCCACTAAAATCTCCAAATTAATTAAGATATTTATACCCTATAAAATATATGAACTATATCACCTGCATGATGTTTTTATCTTAGTTATTACCCAGGTCAATAAAAAACCTGGCGTAAACACGAACGTGCAACTTTATTTATCTAAACATACCCCTAGCCGAAAGTATGAGAGTTTAGCAAAATCTCGCTTTTTGTTTACGCCACCTAGCGTTGGTTTTACACTGCACTGAAGTCTACATCCCACATCCTATTCCAATTCGGTACCGCTCACGCCAAGACCATCAGTATAGCAACAGTAGTATCGTATGTTCCCGTCATCAAATTCAAACAACAGCAAGCCTAAGTCGCCAAAAATACGTTAGCCAACCCGTCGAAAACCCAAACCATTCAAGGGCGAACGTACCTTCAACAAACCATTCTTTAAAAATAAAATCATAATAATCAATCCATTCATTCAGAAACGAATTCATTAGACAAAACGCCAAAACGTTCGTCCAAAATCCAAACGTATGTTATCCAAATAATCACGAAACCAATTCATCCAAGCAGAAATCAATCATCTAATCAAAGCCCAAACCATTCAATCTAAACGTATAACATTATGCATAATTCGAACATACATTTTTTAACCAATCTAATAAAAACTTATGCCATTCAATCGAAACGTTAGCTGTCGGACGTGAAGTTAAATATTTCGCTATTAATTTTTTTTCCCATAGTAAGCCTAATTGACAACATAGGCCTATCTCTGCTCACATGCTGGTAACTTTCCGAAAGTAGAAACAAGAGTAGATATTTTAGACAACGCTGTATTGAATGACTACGGTAGACTCAAACAAAAAATGTTTATATTTTTGCTTTCGTACACCTGTCACTTCCTTTGAACTTACCCGCTTTTTGGACAGCTGTTAGTCTATGACCAACTCAAACGTCAAAATACATTCCATTTTAAAATACTTAGAGAGGGAGGAGTATCTTTTATGTATTGCTGAATATAATTTTTCGGAATGACACGGAGGGAAAAATACATTTTAAATCATCGGGATTGCTTATTCCGGTCCTGGATACAGTGCTCCCATGCGTCCATTTTACTTGAAATATGATAGGCTCTATGTCATGTTTTGTAACGCGCACGTGTTTTGTGTTTGCTAAATAATTTATAGAAGAGACACATGGTATATGTGTTATGTTATGTTATCTTACGATGTTATGATGTTATATAGTGGTTATTCATATATCCGTAATGCGACTGCGGTGTATAAATACTGTCTCTTATACACATCAGATGTGTATAAGAG